TTACAATACTTTCATGATAGTTTAACAGGTGAAATATGTTGTTCTAAGTATAAAATCAAGGGTGTCTCTTTGAGAAAGAAAGCATAATGGAATAAAAAATAAAATAAAATAAAATGGCGGGAAAAAGGATCAAATGTCAAGCCAACCTACTTCCCTTTAATATTAAGCTATGATTTTCAAACTCGAACCGAAATTAGGCCTCTATAAGCCGAACTCCTCTACCAAAGCAAGTTTTTATAGACCAGTTAGGGGGGCCGCAATGGCCCCTTAAGTCTTTTGTTTAGCAAACCGGGAGAGGCTACCTGAAGCTATGTTGTAGCGCGATCCTCGTATAAGCGTGGTCCAACGGCTAAGACCACGTGCTAGCGACTTACGCGTGGAGCGAGGGGGCGTGGGTTCGATCCCCAGCTGTGATCAATATTTAAATATTTTTTTATTTTTTTCTTCTTTTGTTTACTTTACATTATATTATTTATTTAATGTGTTTTTCGATATATTAAAGAATCCCATGTATAAAAGAGAATTTTTTTTATTCCGGAAATTTCAAGGAATGCTTATTAACTGGAAAAATCCCGGAAAATTAGTTTATTTATATTATATTATTTTTTTTAAACTCCTTTTACAATATTTTCACGATAGTTTAACAGGTGAAATATGTTGCTCTAAGTATAAAATCAAGGGTGTCTCTTTGTGAAAGAAATAATAACGGAAAAAAAAATAATAAAATGTCGGGGAAAAGCATCAAATTTCAAGCCGACCTACTTCCCTTTAATATTAAGCTATAACTTTCAAACTCGTACCGAAATTAGTCCTCTATGAGCCTAGCCCCTCTACCAAAGCAAGTTTTTGTAGACCAATTAGGGGGGCCGCAATGGCCCCTTAAGTCTTCTGTTTAACAAACCGGGAGAGGGAACTTGAAGCTATGTTGTNTTGAGAAAGAAATCATAATGGAAAAAAAAATTAAAAAAAATAAAATGTCGGGGAAAAGGATCAAATTTCAAGTCGACCTACTTCTCTTTAATATTAAGCTATAATTTTCAAACTCGCACCGAAATTAGTCCTCTATGAGCCTAGCCCCTCTACCAAAACAAGTTTTTATAGACCATTTAGGGGGGCCGCAATGGCCCCTCAAGTTTTTTGTTTAGCAAGCTGGGAGAGGCTACCTGAAGCTATGTTGCAGCGCGATCCTCGTATAAGCGTGGTCTAACGGCTAAGACCATGTGCTAGCGACTTACGCATAGAGCGAGGAGGCGTGGGTTCGATCCCCAGCTGTGGTCAATTTTTAAATATTTTTTTATTTTTTTCTTCTTTTGTTTATTTTACATTGTATTATTTATTTAATGTGTTTTTTGATATATTAAAGAATCCCATAAATAAAAGAGAATTTTTTTATTCCGGAAATTTCAAGTAATGCTTAAAAACTGGAAAAATCCCGGAAAATCAGTTTATTTATATATTATTTTTTCAAACTCCTTTTACAATATTTTTACGATAGTTTAGCAGGTGAAATATGTTGTTCTAAGTATAAAATAAAGGGTATCTCATTGTGAAAGAATTCATAACGGAAAAAAAAAATGTCGGGGAAATGCATCAAATTTCAAGCCGACCTACTTCCCTTTAATATTAAGCTATAATTTTTAAACTCGCACCGAAATTAGTCCTCTATGAGCCTAGCCCCTCTACCAAACAAAGTTCTTATAGACCAATTAGGGGGGCCGCAATGGCCCCTCAAGTTTTTTGTTTAGCACGCTGGGAGAGGCTACCTGAAGCTATGTTGAAGCGCGATCCTCGTATAAGCGTGGTCCAACGGCTAAGACCATGTGCTAGCGACTTACGCATAGAGCGAGGAGGCGTGGGTTCGATCCCCAGCTAAAGTCAATTTTTAAATATTTATTTTATTTTTTTTCTTCTTTTGTTTATTTTACATTGTATTATTTATTTAATGTGTTTTTCGATATATTAAAGAATCCCATAAATAAAAGACAATTGTTTTATTCCGGATATTTCAAGTAATGCTTAAAAACTGGAAAAATTCCGGAAAATCAGTTTATTTATATATTACTTTTTCAAACTCCTTTTACAATATTTTTACGATAGTTTAACAGGTGAAATATGTTGTTCTAAGTATAAAATCAAGGGTGTCTCTTCGTGAAAGAAATCATAACGGAAAAAAAAAAAATAATAAAATGTCAGGGGAAAAGCATCAAATTTTAAGCCGACCTACTTCCCTTTAATATTAAGCTATAATTTTCAAACTCGCACCGAAATTAGTACTCTATGAGCCTAGCCCCTCTACCAAAGCAAGTTTTTATAGACCAATTAGGGGGGCCGCAATGGCCCCTCAAGTCTTTTGTTTAGCAAACCGGGAGAGGCTACCTGAAGCTATGTTGTAGCGCGATCCTCGCATAAGCGTGGTTCAACGGCGAAGACCATGTGCTAGCGACTTACGCATGGAGCGAGGGGGCGTGGGTTCGATCCCCAGCTGTGGTCAATTTTTAAATATTTTTTTATTTTTTTCTTCTTTTGCTTATTTTACATTATATTATTTATTTAATGTATTTTTCGATATATTAAAGAATCCCATAAATAAAAGAGAATTTTTTTATTCCGGAAATTTCAAGTAATGCTTATAAACTGGAAAAATCCCGGAAAATCAGTTTATTTATATTATATTATTTTTTTAAACTCCTTTTACAATATTTTCACTATAGTTTAACTGGCGAATATAATCAAGTATAAAATCACACATCTAAGTATAAAATCAAGGGTGTCTCTTTGTGAAAGAAAGCATAAAATAAAATGGCGGGAAAAAGGATCAAATTTCAAGCCGACCTACTTCTTTTAATATGAGTTATAAAAGAAAGCTTTCTCATTCACA